CAGCGTGGGCAGGGGGACCCTGCAGACACAGACCTCATATCCTTCTGAGAAACGTCCCAAGGGGAAAAAAGCAAAGTTAAAGGGGAGACAAAGCTTTAAAGCGCATGATTTGGCAGAGAGGTGAGAGCAGAGGGGTACTGAGGTCTCACTTGTCTCTCTTCCCGTAGAAACAGCCCTGTAAATACTCAATCCACAGCAGGAATATACATGATCAGGTTTGGAATTTAGCAAAATTAGCTCTAGAAGGAGTCGAGTGTATCTCCCTTAACACAAGCAAGCAACACCTGAACTCTACAGCACAGTGTCCCCAGCAGGGAGGATGCGCTCCAAAGATGGGAAGTCAACAATCATGGCTATAAATTGGACACGGTCTGGTAACAGAAAAAGCCTTGAAAATCAGAAAAAAAAAAAAAAAAGAAAAAGATGAAACTCCCTCATGTGGGGATGAGATCGTTGAGATTTGGCAGTGGATTTCCCACGGCGGGGTACGAGGTCGGCAGCCTGACAGCTGATGGCCCTGCTCCCCTCCCCTCTGTCTGTGTCCCCATGGCCCAGACATCTGCTGTCCCCGCCGAGCAGCTGCCCCCCTGAGCAGGACAGCAGCAGGGGATCCTTCCTTCCTTCCTTCCTTCCAGCTAAATCCAACAGAAATGGGCTGTCTAGCCTGTTCAGGGGAGAAGGGGCCTGCAAGGAAAAGCTCAAAAGTGCTCTGGAGCAGCAGCAGTTTGTGATTATCCCTGTGAGAAAAAGCCTTAGGCTATGGGGATGAGATGGGATGGAGTCTGTTCCATCACTGTCTCTTGCCCAAACAAAGATCATTTTGCCCAGTAAGGTTTAAAATTCAATATATTAGGCCCTCGGGAATTGTTATTTCCTAAACACTTCCATCTCCTCTCCTTTGTTTGCTCACTTTGCAGCTGTTTTTGGAGCATCCAACAGCTCCTGCTGAACCACATGCCCTGTTGTGCCAGCAGTGACCCCCTGAGCTCTCATTTGTGATGTGGGTACATCCAGCATCCCCTGGGGAAAGGTGTGGGTGCCCCAGCCTGGGTCAAAAGGAGCTCCTGGACCTTCAGGAGTGAATAGCAGGCTCAGCTGAGAGCAGTTTATTGCTCATTAGTGCTCTCAGGGCCGTGCTGTTCTCAAGGTCAGGGGTCAAATAAATCATTATTTGGACTATTGGAAGAAAATTCTATGTGTGAGGATGGAAATGAAGCTGCTGGGGGGAGTGGGTTGCCCATCCCTGACCCTGCACACCGCTGGGTTCGAGGAAGCCGCAGGGATTCAGCCGGTGACATGGAGGGGGATTTTGCTGGAGCCATTTCCTTACCTGGCAAGATAGCACAGGCTCAGGAAATGAGCAATTCCAGTCTCCCGTCCATACATTTATATATTCTCTTCACGTTTCCTAAATAAACGGGTCCGAGGCAGGAGGAGCCTTGTCTGGTCGCTGGCACAGCCCGGCGTTTGTAGCTGAAGCTGCTGCTGACATCTACGGTCAGCCCGGGGTACTGAAAAGCGTTTCAAAGTGTTGGAAAGTGGCGCAGCCACGGACTGGATTGGGTTGGAAAATGTCCTCGAATTCCTCTCAATCCATCCCCCTGGAACACTTTCCACTCTTCCTGGGTGCTCTGAGCCCCATCAAACTTGGCCTTGGCAGCCACAGCTGCTCTGGGCACGCTGTGCCAGGGCCTGCCCACCTTCACAGGGATGAATTTCTTCCCAATATCCCATCCATCCCTGCCCTCTGGCAGTGGGAGCCATTCCCTGGGTGCTGTCCTTCCATTCCTTGTCCCCAGTCCCTCTCCAGCTCTCCTGGAGCCCCTTCAGGCCCTGGCAGAGGCTGTCAATGAGTTGCGGTGTTCATATGGATTTAACCAAAATATCATTATTATAGCATAACCCCTTAAAATTACAAGAAATTACCTCAGAAGTAAGAACTACTCTAAAGATATAAAAGTAATACTGACTGGATTTCCAGCTGATTGTTCCCCTTAGGAGGTTTCTCTGGAGCACACCTCTTGCCCAAAGACTGTGGAAATCCCATTTCACAGGGAAAACCTGTTAGGTGCTGTAACATTACACCCAGGACAGTGATACAAACAATTTATCTGTAAATTAATTTTCAGCACTGTGCATGACCCCTCTTCACCACATTAAATTTCACTAATAATTATATTGTTGGATTGAAGCACTTCTTGAGATTGATGGAAATCCTTCAGCACAGGTGTCAGCATAGGGGCAGCTCTCTTCAGCATTCTAAGGAGATTTTTATTGGAGCAACAGTAGCTGGAAAAAAACCCAAAAAACGCAACCAGGCAAGCTTTTGGACATGGAAACCTCTTACAAGTCTGGTCTTAGTTATAAATTTTATTTTGGGCTGACTGAAGCTCCTGAGCTTTAGCATTCTCTCCTTTTCTAATTTTTTCCCTTATTTTCAGAAGAGCTGGGTGCTGCTCCTGTTTCCCTCTAGACTCAAAGATCAGCAGCAGGGGCACAGCTGGAGCTAAATCAGCTCCAGCCCCAGGGAGGGTGGGCTGAAGGTCACCCTCCTGTATTCCCATTGGGGCAGGAAAGCAGCCAAATAAACATCTTCTCCTGCATTTTGTTCCTATTGAAAACTCAGCTTTAAGGCTGCAGGTCCTGTTGCAAACATTTGGATTTTACCTGTGCAGAGGGAGCATGTTTATTTATTTATTAGAGGCAAAAGCAGTTTGGTTGCTCCTCAATCCCCAGTGTTGCTCTTTGCTGAGGTTCCCAGCAGGGTGGGAGGCACCACTGAGGCCAAGCTCTTTCTGTGCACCTCCCATCCCTGCACAGCCTGGTGAGCTCCAGCTCCATCAGATTTTATCTGCTTCATGATGTGTGAGAGCAATCGAGCACGGGAAGGCCATGGAGCTGTTGGAGTGAGGCCAGAGGAGGCACCAGAACGTTCAGAGGATGGAGCAGCTCAGCTGGGAGGAGAGGCTGTGGAGAATTGGGGTTGTTCAGCCTGGAGAGGAGAAGCTTTGGGGTGACCTGAAGGAGGCAGCAAGAAACACGGAGAGAGATTGTTTTTACAAGGGCCTGGAGTGCCAGGACAAGGGTGGAATGGTTTCCCACGGCCAGAGGGCAGGGTTAGATGGGATATTGGGAAGGAATTTTTCCTGTGAGCATGGTGAGGCTCTGGCACAGATTTCCCAGAGAAGCTCCCCTATCCCTGGAAGTGTCCAAAGCCAGGGCTTGGAGCACCCTGGGCTCGTGGAAGGTGTCCCTGCCCATGGCAGGGGATGAGCTTTGAGGTCCCTTCCATCCCAAACCCTTCTGGGATCTGTGGTTCAGGTCTCCATGAGCATTGCTCTGTGGGAACCCAGAGCATCCCTCTGGCTGTCCAGGACAGCCAAGACCCTGCCAGGGGGCTCAGAGACCCTGGCACAGAGCCCAGAACACCTGTGGGTTTGATTATCACCTGTGGAGCAAATTACCAACCTTATATGAAGATCAGCAAGCCACAACAGCTTAGGTAGAATAATAGTGAAGTTATCACGGGGTGGAAAAGTAGATTTTGGGGTTTTTGGAATGGGGGTTTGGGAGGCAAGATGGAGGGATCTGGGTGTGTCCAGCCTTTCTCCTTCTTCTTCTTGGTCCCCATCTGTCGAAGGAAGGGGACCAGGACACCAGTTGGTTCATCACAGGCCTTTCAGGTCTGGTCCGGTCCCGTTTATTGAAGAAAGCATCAAACACTTATACAGCAAATCATAAGCTTATGAATATCCTGTAAGCCAGCAATCTATTGGTTAAACTATAGCATTAACTCATCTTCATTCCTTAGGGGTTACACTTTCTTTTCTCATGTCTCTTTCTCTGTTTGTTATCACACTACAGCCAGGCCCAAGGACATGCTATCAACACAGGTGCAGGACTTGGAATTAGCCATGGTTTTGTACTTTTCTATTTTCTAGCAGCTAAATTCCCAACACCCATCTTCTGCTGTGATGGTGGCACTTACAGATTGGTTCAGAGTAGAAGCTCACTGTACAATTACTTCCCAATACCTAGCTGATAGTATTTGGAAGTAATTGTAAATATTGTATATGTAGTTTGTAGAATAACAAACGGAGGAAGGCAGAGTGCCTGGGACTGTCTTGCTGAGCTGACCTTGGCAGGACAGGAGAAAGAATTTTATAGATAAAAAACAATAAACAACCTTGAGACCAAGAAATGAAGAGCCCTGACTCCTTCTTCAAGCGCCAGGCTGCATAAAGAGACTTTTCAGCTTTTCTCAGGTCACTGTGACCAGCTGAGATCCCAACATTGCTCCTTGATGAGCAGCTCCCATCCTTCCCCTCCTGTCCCTGTGATGATGGTTTGTGTCATGTTAGGGCAAAGAAGTCTGGCTTGTTCAGATTTTCCCCCTTAATTTACATAATCTTAAAAAAATTCTATTTAGGAGCAATCAATTGCAGCTTCTCATTCAAACTTGAATTGCTTTTCTGTGACAATTCTCCTTTTTATCAATAGACTTTTAGGAAGAGGTTTTTACAGCATTCACTGCTTTCCCCAGCAGGCTGACCTACAAGAGCTGCCACTAAACTCTCCTGGTGTGCTAAATTTAAATTTAAATTTTAATCTCCTCCTAACTTCCCTTTTTCATTTGCTCAACAATATCATGATAATTTCAGGGAGCTTCTGAGGAAGAGCAGAAGCAGAACCCCTGACATCAAGAGCTAGCATAAGGCCACACTTGCTTTTTTCCTATGAATTTCCCCAAAAGTTATGTGGCAATGTTAAAACACCCACAATAACAAGATTTATTTAGTTTTAGCCATTTATTGCCACCTCAGCTTTCAGAGTTCTGATTCTTTAGAACAGCCAGTTTGTTTTAATTAAACTTCACCTCTAATCAGAGCAAATTTCAGCTGCCCACCCACCTCTCCAGTGTCTTTCCAAATCCAGTTTCTTACTTTTGGACAAAGAAATCTTCATTAACAGCTTTTACTGCAGCAAAGACACAGCACAGGTGTGTGCTCAGATGGTTTCAGTTTATTAAAAACGAGGATCTGCTTTGCAGTAACGGAACAACCATGATCATGCAAGTCTTGCACAAACACAAGGCAGGCAGAAGATGAAAGACAAAAGCAGGAGGAACTCAAGCAAACCAAGATAAAAATTAAACCAGTGCTTTACAATGAACATTAAGTGCCAAACAGTAAAAACTAATTAATTTCTCCAGTGTTTGTGCCATCTCTCAGACTTTAAGGCTCGTACAAAAGTTGAAAGGAAGTAATAAAAAAAAGTAAAGAGCTATGCAAATGTACAAAACCCAGCTGGAGTAGGAGGAGCATTTTAACATGAAAATCGAGGTCAGGTCACATCTACTCTTCCTCCAAGCACTCTCTCTCTTCGGCAGGATCCAGTGGCAAGGGCCGAGCTCTGTAAGGAGAATTATTTCAAAAGCATTAGCAGGAACCAGCTCTGGTTTGAAAGGCTAACAAAGCCCTCTTCCCACAGCCCAATGACTTAGTTAGACCTTGAGGCATCAGGACTGACAGGGGCTCCTTTATCCTGTGTTCTCTTCCCACCACCTTGTTCTTGTTCAGCCCAGCAAACTCCAGATTAAAGGGATGAAAGCTTTCCTGTGCTACAGCAAACGTTTTCTGTTTCACCAACAGGTGGGATGCACTTAAAAGCCTTTGTCTGCTTGTCCTGCAGGACAATTTGGGGCCAATTCTTATGGGCTCCCCCTAGCAGTTTGGAAATACCTGTATTTGGTGGAAAAATGGAGTTCCAACCCAGAATTCCCTATGGAAAACAGAGTGTCTGTGAGACAATATTTTATACTGCTGCCTGTTTAGTCAGTAGTGCAGCCTACAGTTAATCTCTGAGGCTCCAGCTTGGAAAAGCCATTCAATTTCAATTCCTGGCACGTGGAAGTTGTTAGTGCTCTCCTAAGCTTCTCCAAAACTTCACTGTGCTGGCAAAGTTATGCCTGAGCAGTAAGAACTTGCCTGAACTACCAGTTACTCCACCCATTTTCAGGAACCTTGATGAGGTCCCTGAAAACTTTGCCAGATTTGGTGAGAAACATCAATTCCATGAGGACACAGAAGTCAGGAGACACACTGTCAACTTGCCCCTCCAAAAATGGAGTTTCACAGAGAAAAAATAATCACAGCTTGCTTCCTTGTGGTGGTCCCAGTTGTTGGTTTCTCTGGGTCTGGACTGAAGGCACTTGAGAGGGTAGTTCATGTTCAGACTCAAGTGTTTATTATTTCTTATCAGTAAAACAGTCTCACTGCTGTGAGTTCAGCAGCTTTTCATTAGAAGGCACAAAATGGCCAACAATCTCATTTTACAAGGTCTTTTAAGACTAAACTATCCAATGAAGAACTGACACCTGGATTATTTTCCCTTTTAACCCAATAACTGATCCCACAGAGCTGCAATGGGGACTTTTCTGCCCAATTACAAAATGTAAAAGTATGAATAAGAAACCCAGGATGACACCCTGTGCCCTCCATCTTGCTTCCACCCACAACACACTAAAAATCCCAAAACCTCAATTCCTCACCAAGTGACACACCTACGCTGCTCTCTATGTTTCACACTTTTGTAGATTCCAGTTTATCTTGAAGTCTGGGGAACTTTCTCCGTGAATGAGGGTCAAAGTCAGTGCTCCCTGGGGGTCAGGGCACCCCAGAGCAGACACAGAAATATTCCCTGGGTTTGCACACCTCCCCTTGCCCCAGTACCCACTCCAGGCCGCTGGTCCCGGGCGTGTCTCCGTCGGATGCGCGGCTCTCCTTGGATGGCAGCTGCAGGAAGTCGCTGATGCCCCTTTGCCAGGC